CATCAAAAACACACATGGAGAGGAGGGGAGATTGATCTACCGTAGGGAAATTGGTGTAGCAGACCTTGGCCGCCGTAAGGGCGGGGGGGGAACGCGACGCAGACGCGTCTGCTATGGTTCCCAAAATTGTCTTCTCATAGTGTCTGGTGGGGGCCTCCAGACGCCGTACCGCTTATTGCATGTTGTTCTTTGCAACAACTGCAGACAATCCCATATTCGCTTCAATTTGGGATTAATTATTCTACATTATATTCTTATTTGGTGGGACAATTATCGATATTTAAACTAAGCCTCGCAAGCTTTTTACTATTTTAGGCTGGATTCGGTAAAGTTCACTCCTTTTTTCATGAGCTACTAGAATTCTACCACAACAGTGTAGTTTGGAAGGAAAGTTGTTAACCAATCTGGCGTTCACAAGATGAATTGTTAAAATAGGCGTTCTGTTTTAGATGTCAGTCGTAAAACTCAATGCTAAGGATGATTAATGTGACCCCTACAGATGTTTTCGGGCTAACTTCCAGACAAAATGGGTTTAGATTTATGGTTTGGCTGGGAGTTAAGTTGAGGTTTAGGCTTGTGGTAAGGGCTCGGTTTAGCGTAGCGGTAAGTTAAGGACAAGCGTAGCGTTAAGGTTAACGTTTGTGTTCAAAAACTCAAGGTTCGCGAACGTACGTTTTCGATTATTCATCATTACGCGAGTACAGCATAACCAGTTGGCGTTAGCGTTAGGTGTAGAGCCAGGGTTAAGATTGGAAATACTTTTTATTTTATTTGAGGGCAATTGTCAGGAGCATGACATGCGAATATTTATCCTTCTTGGAATAACGCGGAGTTAAACTTTACTACCTAAGCGGAATTTTCTAATTCTCTGTCTTTTTAGTGGGTGGACATATAAGTAATCATTACCAACTCTGCCGTTTGGTTAGATTTGCTTGCTACACGAGATAGAAATGCTACTTTGTCCCTGTTCCTGTCATGACTGTCAACCACACTAGTTTTGGACTGCCCGACAGCCTGATGCATACTATCATCGTAGCTTCCTTTTGTGCTTGTCACGGATCCCTCTCATCCCAAAGATTTGGCAGTATCTGTGTATTTTTTTCTCTTAAGCTGGATCAACTGGATTTCGAACGATCCAACTTAAACAGGTCTTATGAGGAAGAACGTGAAAAGCGTACTCGACTGGAGAAAGAACTGCAAGGGCGGGATGCAAAAATGCAAAAGACGGTTTCGGTGAGTTTTCTGGCTGGATTATTGTCTCAAATACTGGACCTACTTACTGCATTCTAATTCTTTATCTCTTATTTTTATCCTTCTTTGATTGTATTCTCGCGGAGGGCCACTGCATTTTGCAAATAAGGTTCGATCGTGCTAGATTTAAAAATCACTTTTCCACGTTAGTATATGTATGACAGCGAAATAAATTAACATAGATTGGGCGGGTAAATCGACCAAAGTGTGATTTCCTTCACGGCTCACAGTCAGACTCGTAACCCAATGATAGTGTTGGCTGCGCAAAAGCCTTCCCTGCTGTTTGGGTTCGAATCCCACGGAAGCCGCGAATTTTTTACAACTTGGTCAACTGAAAAGAACATTTCCTGGATAGTGGCACCGTACGTTTCTGAAATGTTTGCAGTCCCGTACTAGGTGAAGGCAAATCGGTAATTCCTTATTAAATTATTTCCGCGAAAATACTCCCTTCCGCGTTATTACCTGACCGGATATGACTGATCCTTGAAAGTGCTGCCATGTACCTTTTCATGCTATATTGTGAACAGTTCATCCAAACTTTCTAAAGATTTTTACAGCATTTTCTTAAAAAAGTTGGCTTTATTTAGCGCTCTACTTCGACTTCTTTAAAGACTGCTTCCAAAGCGGTATACGAATTAAAGACTCAGATACTTCTTGCAAAGGATTAAAGTCACATGCGCATCTTGTATTAGGTCCTCATTGGTCCAAGACAGTCATGTTGTAGCCCAAACAGATGGCTGCATGGTGGTTAATAGTTAACAATGGGAACGTTTTACCGAAGGTGTGCTCAAATGATTAAATACTCCTGATTTCGGTCATCTTGAAGCGAACCCGTCAGTAAAGTTGGGAAAACGCTGTCGATTATTGACCGGCTTGGGCTCGAATATTTAATTACAGTCGGGCGTTTTAATACCACCGACTAACTGCGGTAAGCAAATCCGGCAAAAGTAGCTTATGTAGCCCCACTTGTATAACCTTACTTTCAGCATTTTGTTCTGCAAAAACGGTGGCTATAGGGTTTTGTGGGGCGGGGAAATAGGATAGGCAGAGAAGGAAATTTTTAGAAGTAATTTAAAGTAAAAATGTGGTCGAAGTTGCTTCCCGCGGCCGCTGGGAGCAGGTTGTTCCGCCTGCAAATT